AATTTTTCCACTATATAACCACTCAACTACATAGCTCGAAAATAACCAAGAGAAATTAAAATGGCACATAATAGAATATCATGGCTCCTAATTATAACTCAAATTTTCTTGTTATTTCTAGCCAAAACAAATGCCAAAATTCCGGCAATTATTGTTTTCGGAGATTCATCAGTTGATTCGGGTAATAACAACTATATTCAGACAATTGCGAGGAGTGATTTTATGCCATATGGTAGAGATTTTGCAGGTGGTCGGCCGACAGGTCGATTTTCTAATGGAAGAATTACAACTGATTTTATTTCGGAGGCTGCTGGTTTAAAAGCAACAGTTCCAGCATATTTGGATCCAGCTTATAATATTTCTGATTTTGCTGTTGGAGTTAGTTTTGCATCTGCTGGAACTGGATATGATAATGCCACTGCTGATGTTCTGGTAAGTCTCTTTGTAATAATCTTAATTAACATGTTTTTCTACTTGTAGAACAGTTTAAAAATAAAACAGTAGTACTGCAACTTCGGTTAAGGTTTTAGGGTTTAAGGTTTGGATTATGCTACTTCGGTTAAGCAGTATAAGCAGGGCGGATCCAAAATTTAAATTTTATGGGTTCAAACAACGATTTCAAGTGTAGTAACTCATAGTAAAATATTTATAGATTAGCGGACTTTTCAATAAAAATACTCGATCTGCACAAAAGTTACTGGGTTCCGAGAACTCCATAAACTATGCACTAGATCCTCCATCGATAATGTTATAGAGTTGGATGTGCGATCAAAGTTCATAGTAAAAGTCTATAAGAAAAATAAGTTACATATAAGGTACTCCCTCTATTTAAAAAAAATTGGCTCTATTTCCTTATTTGTCCGTTCTAAAAAGATTGTTACCTTTCAATATTTTTTTAATAGGAAGCATTCATAGCCACACAAATGCTAAGGCAGGTTTGAGACCATAAGTTTTAAAAATTTTACATTCATACAAATGTTATGGCTTATTTAAGATCACATATCTCAAAAGTCTTCCCTTCTTTATTAAAGTTTGTGTCAAGTCAAACTAAGATAAATTTTTTGAAACGGAGGGAGTATATGTTTACTCTTAATTGCGACCTTTGAAAAAAAACGTGTGGTCTTGGGCTTAGGCCATCTCCAATGGTACTCTATTTTTTGCACCAAATCCAAATTTGGTGCAAGAAATAGAGTAAAATTGCTCCAATGGTACTCCATTTGTTGCTCTATTTAGAGCATGAATAGTGTTACACCAAATTTGGTGCAACACTATTCATTACTCTATATTTGGTTTAATAATATTTTATTTATTTTTTTTATTGTTGAACTTTTAATTAATTATATATTGTGTATATAATTAACTTTTATATTAAGATTTTTATAATTTTAATTTTGTATCCTATTTTTTGATATATTAATTTTTGTATATATTATATTTATATAAAATTATAAGTTAATTTTATTATTGTTATAATTGTATAAAAAGAAATATAACCATTATTTAAAAATAACAATACATAAAATAAAAATACATTATAATTAAAGTACATAAAAAAGATAGTATTAGTTTGAAGGAAATAAAAAATAAAAAGTAAATAGAAGATAATAATATAATATAGAAGAGAGAGAAAATTTGGTGTAAAAAATAGTGTGATTGTTGGAGTAGATTTGGTGTTGCACCATTTTAGAGTGAAAAATGGTGCAAAAAATAGAGTGATTGTTGGAGATGCCCTTAAAGGAGTAGTACTGTGACTAGGTGTGTCAATGGATATTTAAAAACCGACTAAACCGACCGAACCGTACCGTACCGAATCGATTTTTAGGTTTCTTTTAATAAAACCGTCGATTTTTATATAAATCTATAATCGTACCGACAATTAGGGTATGCTTTTTATTTTATGAAAATAAACTGAAAAAATACCGAACCGTACCGAATAAATTTACATGTGAAAAATATATTTATATATTTAGTTCAAAAATGATAAAACATTAAATTTTCCTTGGGTCTTGGAATTATGAAAACAATTAGAAGCCAACAAGTAATAATCACAAAACATAATTCCCAAACCTATTATGCTACTCCCATTGAAACTAATTTTTGTTCCAGCATATTCACTAGCGAGACACAAGGTATTGTAGCTGTTATGAATAGCAAACTACAATGTATTGATTATGTTTCCTTTCGTATGATTTAATATATATTTTTTTGAATATTTAATCTTCTATAGACTTTTTTCTTGAGTCTCAGTCCCAGCTTGGTTAATATCTTTCCACTCGTGTGATTTATATTTTCTTTATATTAATTTGTTTAGTTTCTTTTATGTTGTTGTTGAGTAGTTAATGAATCTATACTCTAGCCATCTTTTATATTTTCTTAATTCATCACCCTTTAAAATGTAAAAATATCTAGAGAGTTTTGTTAAGTCCTATAAAAGTATGTATGTTATTGCATTCTATTTCTACTAGTGACTTTTATATCATATTTATAAAAAGATACCGAAAATTAACCGAACCGTACCAATACCGAAGAGGTACCGATACAATTGGGACGGTTTCGAAAAGTCTAATTTTGGTTATACATAATAAAATAACCGAAAAATTGGTATGGTACAAAATTTATAAAATAACCGACCGAACCGAACCATTGACACCCCTAACTGTGACAGTACGTTAAGAGAGTATTTGGGTTGACGTAGCTAATAATAGGTTAAACATTTTGGGAGCTGATAGCAATTTGATTGAATACAGAATTTAAAAAATAAAAGAATATATTAGACAAAAAAATAAAATTTATTCAAGGTACCAAAATTACTCTTACCCAACCACTTAAACTAAAAATAGCCAGTTGAAGTATAATATATGCATAATTTATGTATTATTGTGTATAATTATATATAATTAATGTATAATCTATTTATATGGCCAGAAAAAGTAAACAATGGATTTCGCCAGCTATTTGTGTAAAAATTCCAAAAAGTTCTTATGTTAGGGTAAAATACAAAATTACAATACAAATTGGTGTCATATTTTCTGAACTGATTAAGAAGAAAAGAGTGTTACATGAACTGGAATAAACATTACGTTAAGTATGATCATAATCTTACCATGTTACTCTTGTCGTTTTATTGAATGACTTCTATTTGCATGACTTAAATTATTGCAGGGCGTGATACCCTTATGGAAAGAATTGGAGTACTACAAAGAATATCAAAAGAAACTAAGGACTTATCTTGGTGATGAAAAGGCAAATAAAGTAATAAGTGAGGCATTATATGCCTTAAGTCTTGGAACAAATGACTTTCTTGAAAACTACTATACAATGCCTCAAAGAAGATCTCAATACACAGTTGATCAATACCAAACTTTCCTAATTGGAATAGCCAAGAATTTTGTAACCAATTTGTACAATCTTGGAGCAAGAAAAATATCACTAGGTGGACTTCCTCCAATGGGATGTATGCCATTAGAAAGAACATCAAATATGGCAAATGGGAATGAATGTTTGGAGAGTTACAACATTGTGGCTATGAATTTTAATGATAAGTTGAGTGGATTGGTTATTGAGCTAAACAAAGAGCTTTCTGGGATTCAAGTTGTTCTTTCTAATCCTTACAACATTATGCTACAAATGATTAAAAAGCCTTCCATATATGGTACGTCTTCCCCCCCCCCCCCCCCCTCCCCCCTTTTTTTTTTCTTTAGTTAATTAAGAAAATATTTTTTGATAGTGTAAAATCTATACAGTCAAACTCCTCTATATCGGTCATAACCTCATGAGTTCACTATAACAATCAGTTTTCTTTAAAACCAATATTTCATGTTATGTTATAATATTTTTTACTCTATACCGTCATTTCACTATAGCAACCAAAAAAAATCGAAGCAAACGAGACTATTATAAATAGGTTTGATTCTTAGATTATTAAAGGCAGCTTGAACCTTTTGAAAACCCGAAGTACCATAATTAGTTTTAAATATGTCGCGTAAAAGAATTTTTCTAAACTTATAAGATACTATACTTTTCCAATAAACAACTCCTCTATATTGATTTAAACTATTTTCTACTAGTGCTATAACGTCTTAAATATTATAGTACTTATTAGAGTTTAAGTTATACACTTATAGTTTTATTTTATTTTTGCACCATCAGTGAAATTAAAATATTGATTATAACAGGTTATTACCGATCTACTTTCTATGTTACTACCATATATAATACTTACATATTATTATAATGTGATCGGTGAAAAATTATTTATACTGTCAGTGTTGGGAACATAAACTCATAGTATTATGATATTAATCTTGTTATTTGACAGGATTTGAGGTAGCTTCACTCGCATGCTGCGCAACAGGACTATTTGAGATGGGTTACGCATGTGATCGATATAATCTTTTCACATGTAAAGATGCAAATAAATATATATTTTGGGATGCATTTCATCCAACGGAAAAAACAGATCGTATCATCGCAGATCATGTGGTTAAAACAGCACTGTCCAAGTTTTTAGAATAATTATAAGATGGAGATTATCTATTTATATGCTTTGGTTATTCCATAATGCCATATTTAATTAGTATGTAATTACGTGTGTGTATATTCTTGGATTGAGTGGATTTCTAGTTACATTACGGGTATTGTTGCGTGATGTTCTTTGATCCCTTGTACGGTAAGGATATATAAAATGAGAAAATGAGTGCTTTTACGTGCTAATTACCTTTTCTGGTGTTTTTACTTGCTAATTACGTTTTCTTGGGATCCAATTTGATTTGAATTTTGAACTCATGACTGCGATCTAATTCTTAGTTATTGTACTAACTCTATAGGGACAAGCAAGTCTAACCATGTCAAAATCAATGGGAATAAAAAGGCTACTTTAAGACCAGTGATAATCTAAAGTTGTCACGTGAAAAAACACTCAAAAAGTCAAGACTCATATTATATGCCCATTTTTTCCAGCAATGCTGCTTAGTTTATGACATTTGTCTAATTTAACGGGCTCGATACAATTATAGTCTCTGCAATAAAAATTATATGTTCTAAACCTGTGACTTACGTAATATAGAAGAAAACAAGCAAACAACAACAGAAAAAGTGACTTCTGATATATCCCCAACAGTAACAATCCATGTAAACTTCCAGGAAACAAAGGAAGTAAAAAGGAAATCTTTTAAACTGGGGATGTCAATTTGATGATAAATAAACTATAACACAGTAATACACGGCTTGTTACGTCAAAACTGTTTCTAACTAGCTTAACATCGTACTCTATGAGAGTGAAGAAGAATTATAACTCATCCTTGTTTGGTGTGTCGTCCCCCATAAGTTCTTCAAGGGAGAACTCGTCTTCTTCGATGATTTCCCCATCTTTTCCATCCCACGCTTCAGTCTTTACAATTGAAGGAGTAGCAGCTAATGGCAGATTACCTTTTCCACCTAGTCCAGCTTCTTTCACAAAATCTCTGTATATACAGAATGAATACTGTCAAGTTCAATCCCAAATACAGTGGAGAAAACAAAATGATGTGGACAAAGCTACTTACATTATCGGCTGGCGCTGGAATGCACTCTTAAGAGGTGCGTATACTCCTTTTTTAACATTCAAAGCTACCATAGCTGGATATCCATAACCACCAACACCGACATGCTTTTCAAGATCTGGTTGCTTACCAGCCGCCACCCAAACGTAACTGTAAAAAAATTGACCAAATATTAGGTTTATCTCTATATTCGAGAACAGTTCAAGCCACTTGATTTTATTACACCTCAGATCATTTCTATTGAAGAATAGAATGCAATATGTGTAGCTAAGTACACACTACTACACTTGCCTGTAGGGATTTCTCTTGAATTTCTCCGCAACAGATAACAACATTTCTAGGTATTTGTTCCTTCCTTCTGCCTTGGAATCTAATATATCCGGCAGGAATGAAACAAAGCAGATTGCAGCAGAATTACATTTCTCTTCCATGACATCCTTCATTAGGAAAGAGATCAAATTTAGTCATATTTCAATGGGTATGAAATGCAAGACAAAGGAAGAAGAGTTCAAACGATTATTAAAGTGAGCTTACTGGGCTAGTCAACTCAATCACTTCAGGAGGTGCAACATTAGTTTCCAGCTGCTCTAATCCAAACGACTCAATGGCTGCCGCTGTTCTTGCACCTTCATATGGGACAGGACTTTCCTTGTCAGCACCAAATACCAAAATTGTGGGGAAACCTTGGACGTTGTACCTGCTCATCAAAGACTGGTGACAGACCCTGATTAGAAGTGGCACACTCAATAAGGTATTGTTAAAAGTCAAAAGAAACTCCAATTAGAAATTCTATTTTGACAATTTGTAATGCCAAATCAAGGGATGAGAATAATCATATCATCCTCATTTTCCATGTAAATAGTAATTACATATGATAAACCAAGCTTACAACGACAACAACAACATACCCAGTATTATCCCACACCGTGGATGATAAACCAAGCTTACGACGACAACAACATACCCAGTATTATCCCACACCGTGGATGATAAACCAAGCTTATCTCACCATTTTGTTTGATGCTTTTTTTTCCTTTTGTGAAATGGTAGGTGTATTATTAAGATCGCACCAAGGAGGTGCTATTAAAAATACTTACAAGGTACCAACAGAATATCCCTTCCTACCATTTTGTTTAGTGCTTACAGTAGCTCTTTATTTCCCTGCTTATTCCCATTCTTTTTAACAGAGTAGGACTGAGAACTTGGAGTTAAGTGCTTGTTAATTCAAGCAAGTTCATGACCTTTTTACTTTAAAGGAAGCTAAGCAAATATTCCTAATCAAAGCTGGAGAAAGTACGTGAACAGACAGAAAGAAACATATGATTATAGAGTTAGAAATTATCAGATGAATAGAGAACTGCAGGCCAGAAAATTCGAACAATCAGAGAACCATCAAGAATGAAAGTATAGATATTAAATGATTTAATTCTTTTTCTCTGTTTTTCTTCGGATGTGGTTTGGGGGG